TATTAATTTTTAAGAATTTTTAGTTCATCATAATAAAATTTTGATCAAAATTGGTTTTAATGCAATTGATATCTCTCTAACAATTGATATCAATTTTTCAAATACTTTGATTTTACAAATTTTAAAGTTTTTGACCTAAATTTGAATGTTTATGCATGTGGTTTAAATGAAAATGATATCTCTCTAACAATTGATATCAAAAATTTTCAAATGCATAACATTTTTAGAAAACTTTATGCATATGATCTTAAATTCAACAATTGGTATTGCATAAAGTATTTTAGTCTTGGATATATTGAATTTCATATGCTACTAACATGTTTGTTATTCTTTGTTGAAATTCAATTTTGTTTAAGTGTCAAGATCCTAAAAGCTAAATTTTATTTGGAATGCATTTATTGAGGGGGAGCTTTGATTTTTCAAATGATTTTTAAAATGTCAAATTTACTACTTACTCTCCAAAGTTATTTTGAACTTCAAAGATTATAGTCTTTTTTATTTAACAAAAAGGGGGAGAAATGTTAAGGTGTTAAAGTGGAGAAGTGTTAAAGTAAGGGGGAGTAATTTCAAACTTGATTTCAAAATCTTAAAATTACTCAAATGTTTTGTTATATCAAAAAGGGGGAGATTGTTGAAAACATTTTGATGTTTCGATATAACAAATTAAGTTAAATGAATTTTAAGATTTTACAAAACATTTTCTAAGTATATTCGATGTAATTATTCGAATATCAAAATATTACTCCAATTCTTTCAAAGTTCATTTTAATCCTTACTAAAGTGTAAAATTGTGTTTTATACTTAAACTATTTTAAAAAAAAAATTACAAAGTATTTCGAGCCTTAATCGAGCCAAAAATATTTTCTTTTTAAAGGGTTTCAAGAAAAATCAGATTGTCTAGGGGGTACAGATTCCCCCCCAGGGGGAACAGATTCCCCCCCAGGGGTACCGATTCCCCCATGTCTAACGGTCAAAAACAGATTGCAATTAGGGAACCGATTCCCCATTAGGGGGTACCGATTCCCCCCACGCTCCAAGCTGTTTTATTAATTGTTTCTCATCTCCAAACGGCTCCAAAACATCCCCAATGACTATATACGACTTCAAACACATTCCAAGCTATAAATACAAGCTAAGGACACTTGAAGAAGTAATAGAACAACTATCCAAGCAATCAAACACAAGAGAAGAGTTTTTCATTCTTATTTCATCTTTCTCTTGTATATATTTTGTTCTTGTGAGCTCAATCTTATAAACACCTACCTTAGAGAGGTTTTCTTGTTTACATTTCTTATCCTTTTGTAAAGGGGAAAGGTTCTAGCTAATCCCGTGTAAAAGCTAGGGAAAGGTTCTAGTTTAGCCCGGAAAAAACTAGGGAGTTTGTAAGGTTACTCTTTATCCTCAAAAGAAAGAACAAATTAGTGAATTTGTTGGAAAATCCTTGGTGAGGAGCTAAGGTAGTGGACGTAGACTTTAGTTGAGAAAGTCGAACCACTATAAATCGCTGTGCAATTCTCTATCTTTCAATCTCCTTACTCCCTAAACATAAAAACTGTTCCGATCCCTCTTTGTAAACCATTCCGGTTATCAATTTGAGCTTCCGAAAATCCTAACAGAGCCCTCTATCGAAAGGAAGTATCTGAACCTTACTAGTTTGCTTCTTGAATTTGTCAACAATGGCTTCCAATTTCAGCTATCGTTTTTCCATCCTGCTCTTGTTATCTTTGAAGGGACTCTCCAAGTCAGTAGTCTTTTTCTCGTCTTGCCCCCTGCAAATTTCGTCAACTCAGAAGGTCGACTTTTGATGTGCTCGGTGTAAATCCCGATCCATTCTGAATCCTTTATAATGCAACAGTGTGTCATATTCTTCGATTACGGGTACTACATCTTCTTAGTTGAACTGTCTTGCAGATTGTCTCCCTGACCATAGCCAGACCTCTGCATTTTTCACCTCTTGTATTACAACCCCTTTGTCCATTAATGCAAATTATTTAGGTTTAACGAACATGTTTTAATGGATCAACACCTCTTTTAAATGATGCAAATGACAAAAATAAAATGAAAGAAAACAAAAATGAAAAGAGTTAGTGAGATAAAGATAATAGGAAAAAATAATAATGAAAATAAAAAGTCCTACCCTACATGTTATCTACCCCACATGCTTTAATTCCTACCTGGACATGATATCTATCCTGCATGTTAATTTTGAACAAGTCCTAACCGCATATCTTCTAGTTCTCATGCTTTGAACAGAAAGTAAAGCATGAAATAATCTCAAAATAGCCTAGGGTTTGAAATGAGGTTTTGGGGTGGGCTCTAACTCTTTGTAGTCTCCCAGTTTAGGTTTTAAAGAAGGTACCCGAGTTCTCCTTGCTGGTGCCCCATTGAGCTTGCCAGACCCTTAGTCCTAATCCCATTACAAGCTCATGTGGACTAAGTTAAACTCAAGAGGATATATTCTCTTATGTCTGTGCGGTGAATAAATTCACACGAAGACATAAGGTATATGAATCCCGAAGGTTACTTGCTAGGCCTGTGCGGAGAATAAATTCTCACGAAGGCGTCGCTTTCACCCCCACTTAAAAGGGTTCGGAGCTCGAGTGTAGAGCCTTAGATGGAAAATGTTAAAGATCTAAAATCATTGAAAAAACGTCAGTACAACTATTTATTTGAAAAATAATCAAAAATAAATAATTGGAATCGAATAAATAAATTAAAATTTAAACTTGCAATTTTCGCTCAAAAAGACAACCAGAAATTAATTTCGGCCTGACTCACTTACCTGTCCTCAGCGGAGTCGTCAAGCTGTCATAATTATTTTTCGGGTGGAACAATTATTTATTGTTTTAAAAAACAGTTACGACTTTAATTTTGAAAAATTACAGATTTTGAAATTAAATTGAAATAGTCGCCATCGACCTTTGGGTTAGGTAGGTTGAACACCTAAAAACGTCATTTAAAAACAATTTTAAGAAAAAATATATTTAAGATAAAAAACTGGTATGCATTTACAAAGATTCGATTAAAACGAGTTCGGGATTCAGTTACAGTCAATGAATGATTAGTACCCTTGAACTGCCCTTTCGGTACCAATTAATTTGTCGGTTGTCTTAATTGCGAAAGTTAAAATTTAAATTTAAATTTAAAACTTCAATTCGAATTATTTACCTTTTATCGATTGAAATTGCTACTGAAAAAATCAAACAAAATATTAGATGGTAAAATAAAATATTGAATGCTAAACAAAAAGAAATAATTTTAAGAGGTTAAATTAAAAATAATAATAATAATAAGGTAAAATAACGTCATAAAAATAAAATAAAAAGTTAAGAAAATGTTAATATAAAAATAATAAAATATTAATTTATAAAAATAAATAAAAATATAAATTTAAGAAATAATAATAATAATTTCAAAATATCAAATAAAAGACTGATTAAAATAAAATTATTTCACAATTAAAATACTAAAATAAAAGAAAAATAATTTACACTAGTGACCAAAATAAAACATGCATAAATTCTTAGGCCATATTTGAATAAAAACAAAATTAGTGACTAAAATGTAAATATAGTAAAATTTGGAATCCAAATTAAAATGCTGAAAATTAAAATTTAATGACTAAAATGTAAAAGTTACAAATTATAGGAATTGATGACGAGGTTTGCCCATTTTTAAAATGACACAAAGGCCCTTCCCCAAAACGACGTAGTTTTGGGGAGGGTATTTATATCCCATAACATGCCTAAATGCCTCCCCATATCTCATTTTTCACTTTTGCTTTTCTCTCTAAGAGAGAGAAGCTCTCACTTCTCTCTAGTTTTCTTCACCAGAGGGAAACCAATCAACGACCAGTCACCGTGCGCCGCCACCGCTGGCCACCGTCGATCACTATTCACCACATCCGATCACTATTCACGATGGCCGAAAAATATAAAATACACCAAATCGAAGCTCTCACCACCCTAAAGTCGAATCCGACAACATTTCTTTCTAAAAACTTCTAGATCGACGTAGATCTAAATTTTTACCTTCGATGTTTCGACTCCTCCGACGATGTTTGAAGCCTCCGACGGTCGTGGTAAGCCTCTCGTTCTCTTCCCTCTCTTTTTATTTGTTTTCGGCTCCCCCTCCTTCAAGTCTGAATCCCTCCTCCTTTTATAATGGTTGTTGCATGTGATGATTTCTTTGGAGTATGTAAAATCCGAGATTTTATGGGATTTATTGTTGTTTTTTTTTACTTTGGGCTTGATATGGTTGACTTTGGGTATTTCTTGATGTATGTGATGACGATAACGGCTTCAAGAAGTCTCGACGACCGACTGGAATATTGTTAGTGGTGGCTGATTATTTTGACCCGGACAAAACGGGTGTCTACAAATATTACAAATATCATAAGTAGATGCTTGACAATACATGATAAGTTGAAAGCATCACTACGTGACCATTATGTTACATATATCATAAATAATAAGTTCCATGAAATTAAAAGTATAAATACCATAAGTTATATTTACAATTTGATAAAAAGACAAAATTATAAATACTTAATGAATTGACCTAATATTCATTCGATATAAATAGAATGATCCAAAAATTAAATTAACTCGATTAACTTGAGTAAAACAAACGATAGAACTTGATCAAATTCATTAAATTTCTCACCAACTTAGCATATGCTAGCTACATTTGCTTGTAAGTTAGTTACCCGAGGAATAATTTACTTTAATTTACATCATTATTAAAATAAAAATATCATTTGAGACACCATTCATCCATTTTTAATGGAAAAGCACCATACCAGCTGATAACTCTCCATCTGTCTAACTTGAACAATTCATAATGCATTTATTGACTTTTCAAACCCAAAATTGGCGAGTCAACGTGTAGGGTTGGCCATTGGCAGCTGCCACAAGTGCTCCACTTTTGTCTTCAGATCAGAGGGGAGAAAATGATTCATGCTATTTGAGGATCCTTGATCAGTCAACAACACCATTTTCTTTCTTCTGAAAAGGCAAAATCGCACACTGCCGTCGTGATTTCATTGGCGCCCCGATTTCACGGTGGTGGGAATCCATTGGAACTCAAATACAAGCAACTTGAGAACCTGAACGAACATGTCGGCATAGGGAATGATCAATCAAAGGAACGTTGAGCTGCAGGCTGCAGCGCATTACCACGTTAGATGACCAGAAGGATAATGGATGAAGCAAACTCAGTGTCCACCGTCGAATACCAAAAACTTGCAAGTTTTAATAACTGCAAGTTTTTATGATTCATAAAGGAAGAGTTGCAAGTGGAGCAAAAACTTTCTCGAATAGCATCGAAACAATTATAATCCCTAAACAGGTCCAGAAACAAACCGTTCAAGTTGAATTATCATCACACTAATGTCATCAAATGAGCCTCTCCATGACGATAGTTCAGCAAGCTTTTTGCAAGCGGAAAATGGCTCAGGCTTATCAACATCGACGCAGAAAGGTCGAACTAAATCAACTGCCTCTTGATTAGTAACCTGAAAGACAAGAAAAGGGTTCAACATAATAACTCAAAACAGATCATCAAAGGAGGTTCAAAAGCAACCATATCAAAAACTTGGGTGAAAATATACACCTTGTTCCAAAGACCATCCGAGGCCATGATCAAGAACTCGCACTCCGGCTGAATCTTTAACAACTTTGTCTCTGGTACCGCAATTACCCATTTTTTAAGATGTTTATTTCCAATCGCTCTGGAAACAGCAAGAGAACCTTGAATCCTCCAAACCCCATGGCAAAAATCAACATAACCACCCTACAAATTGAACACCAAAACAAAAAATTTAGTTTCCCTATAATCAATTTTGTCTTTGAACTCCTCATTATATTGAATTCAAACAATAATTGAAGACCAAGGGGGAACAAATGGTTACCAAAGCTTCAATTCTCTCTCTCTCATCTTGCCTTGAAACATGGTGATCAGAAGTCAAGGCTTCTGCGACACCGTTTCGGCTCAAAACAGCACGGCAATCACCAGCATTTGATACAGCAAGATCGCCTTTATGAATCATTGCAGTAACACAACAGGTGCCACCACCCACATCTTCCTTGAGAAAATCCATGTCCGTGGTTAAGTATGCCTCTCTAAGGGCCTCTTCAATTGCATCTCCACATCTTTTTGATACCTCTGCCATTGCCGCCTTATCTAAATTACACGCCACGAATTCAGCTGCCTTTGAACCACCATGTCCATCAAAAACTCCAAAGAAAGCCTGCAAAAACATCAAAGCCTTCAAATTTTAATCATCAAAACAGACACCAACGTATTATCTGCTTTGACCCAATGAATTTCACGATTTTGTTTACGAATACAACTCGTAGATATGAATTTAGGGATATTAGTCTCCCACCAATCTAAAGAGAGTAATTGGAATTTTCTATTCATTTATGGAACAAAAATTAATGCAGAAGAAACGATTCAAAGAAGAAAATTATAAGGAAATAGTACCCGTTTAGAATCTCCGTTAAGATCAACAGAGACAGAGTAACGGTCTTCCATTTTACCTCTTCTCCCTCTCTTACAATAAACAGAATAGCCTTCTCCATCCACCTGAACCTCCTCCTCTCCTCTGGGCGTCACCGCCGCAAATCCCATCTTAACCGCCACCGGCGTCGGTATCTCTATCATGGGTGGCTTCTTCCTCTTCGCAAGCGAAGGAACCGCCGCATCGGCGCCCAAAGAAAACTGCGGCGGCTTCGGGATGCAAAGGGACAAGGGAGATTTCAAGGATGAGGATGATGACGGAGATAGCGGCGTGGTAACGGAAATGGATGAAAGTGGAAGAGGTGAAGTCGGAGTGCATAACGGAAGAGATGAAGGGGACGATGGCGAATGACAGCCGTTGATGCGAGGAGATGAAGGGAAGGATAAGCCATCCGATTTGCATAAAATCGGAGACGGAACTGTTAGAGACCACGGCATTTTTTCTTATGCGGAGAGAAAATGAAGCGAAGCAAACAGAAACGATGGTATTTATAGACAAGCGTAATGATCCCGTCGTTTCACGCGTCATATCAAGAGTGGAATGCAAAATGATGTTTATTAGTTTTATTCTTTAAAATAAGACAATTTAAATATTTGAAATAATTAAATTTAATAAAAATATATATTTTAAAAAATAAGGTAAATTATACAAATGGTCGCTTGAATATAAGATGTTATTAAAAGTTATAAAATAATCCTTAATTGTAGGATGTTGTTTTGTTGAGTCACTCGATTATTAAAAATTATAAAATAACCATCAGACTATTCATATGTTTCAAACTCATCAATTTCCGTTAAAAATTGACGGTCGTCTGAGCTAGACGTTAATATGCTAATTGAATATGATAAAATCTAATCTTATAACAGTTTAAGTTTTTTTATTGATCGACTCTCTATTTATATTTCTTTTTAATGCTCAAAATTAAAGCATTTTTAATGTTGTTTAATTTTGGATTAAATAACATTTTAATGTTGTTGAATGAAATGCTTTTTTTCCTCTCGCTATTTAGCTTATAAATAGTAGATATGTCTTCTCATTTAAAGTATTTTAAGCAAAACATTTGCTTTAAAACGCTATTCTTCCTCTTAGTGTTATTCACAGGGATGAGTGTTCAATCGAATTGAGTCGAGTAAAGTAAAAAAAATTTAAGTTATTCGAATTAACTAGTCCTATTTTATAACTCGAATTTGACTTAGAATTTTTTTCAAGTCGAGTCGAGTCAAATTTTCGAGTTTATGTTAATTTTAAATATTTATAATATTGTGATATCATTTTATTTCAATTTAAATGATTTTTTATAACCATATATAATACATATGTATTTCTTCATTTTTTCATATGTAATATAAATATATTATACAGAGTCGAGAGACTCGACTCAAACTTGAAAATCAATCTATTAATTATTAAAAATTTCGAGTTACTATTTGAGTTGTATTTTACAACTTGATTTGAACTTGAATTTTTTTCTAGTCGAGTTGAGTTTATGAAATTACAATTCGAAGTCAATTCGAGTCGAGTTGAGTCAAGTAAAAAAATTGATTATTTGAGTTGAGTCGAGGTTTGTTAACCCCTAGTTTTTATATTCATTTTGAGTTCTAATTATGAGTTTTGAAAGAAGAGTATAACCATCTAAGTCCACTCCATTTTTCAGGCGTACGAGATTTGGAGAGCCGTGCTAATGTCAGGGGTCGTCCGTCCATTGTAACGATTACAAACATCGGGACAAATTCGCTTCTAAGGTAATGGTTAATACCACGACACAGTTATCGTCCATTTTATATATTTTAACTAATATTTTCTAGTTAATGCTAATGCCTCGTTTTGCAACAATCAATTTTTTCAACAATATTATGCCTTCGAGTAAGTGCTTGAAACATTATGTCATTGAGTCAATGCTTGAAAACAATGATTTTGTCAGTTGACCGTCAATTTGTTATTAAAAAGGATGAGTTTGGAACATATAAATAGTCTAGGTGACAATTTTAAAACTTTTAATAGTCTAGGGACCCAAAAAATATCCTATAATTGAAGAAATATTTTATAACTTTTAATAGTTAGGGCTCAATAAAGTAACACCCTATAGTTAGAGGACCATTTGTATACTTTACGGTAAAAATATTAATTGAAGATTTTAAAAATAGTAATCATATTTTTTATTAATCTGAAGTAATTATAAAAAAGTATTTGTGTAAAGAACACTCTCAACCATTTGACATAAAAAATATCTAAATATTAATTAAATACCGTATCTTACTAAACTACTTGTAAAATAGATGGCTTGAAACACTTGCTGAGATTAGTGGCAGCTTGCTTTGTTGACAAGTAATTAAGACCATCTCTTGTTCCATTTATCATTTGATTTGGTAAATCCTCCGACTTCATTTTTGGCCTTTGAGGATTAAATTTGTAATTATTATTATTATTTTTTTTAAAATTTGATCAAACAAAGTGGCCACTTGTTGGCGACTGCATGGACTTTTTGTCATTTAATGTTTATTCAAATGCATTTTTGGTAACGAATATTTAAATATATTTATTATAGTTAGTTAAAGTTTGACGGTGTTTATAGTTATTAATTAATCTATTTTTCTTCGAGGATTGTCTTTATTCAATTCAAATGTTGCATTTTTAAGGTTTTGTTGAAATCAGTTGATGACACGCCAATATTATGAGCAAAATGAGACATTGCCATACGGTATCGGACAGGGAGTGTTGAATTTAATCATCAAATTCAACTACTTTTTATACATTATCCACGGCTAGTTGATATTCATTTTGACTGTAAAATCAATGCAAAACAAATAAAATTTTATAAGAAAAATGTTATGAAAACGGTAGTTTCAAACCAATCGTAAAAAATTGAGATTTCTAACTTTTTCATTTTCAACTTTACGTTTAAATTCAAATTTATATTTTTACCCTTATTAATGCATGAGCTCCACTCTTATATAATAACAATTTTTTAAATTTATTTATAATATGTACTTTTTATTTTTGAATGATTAAAAGGATATATATATTATTTAAATTATTTTATTTTAAAATTTAAATGAGTGATTGGTTAAATCAGAATAATTAAAATATTATTTTAAAAATAAAAATATTATTTTAATATTATTTTAAAAACATTTAAAATATCATTTTAAAAAGTATTGATAATATATTTTCTCTTAATAAAATAGTTCGTATATAAAAATATTATTAATGTGTTATCTTAAAATATTTTTTATATTTTTATTATAGATTAAGTTGATATATTTTATATATAATAGTATTAAAAGTCACTTTTAAAAATTAAAAGTCACTTTTCAAAATTAATACAAAAATGACCCCTGGTAACCGATTAATTCATGTTGAATTTTATAAATGTCCATTTTAGAATATCCTCTCGATCATATTTATTTTATTCATAAATGTCAAGTTAGTAGATGAACTAATATATTTCTTGTTCAAGGCATTGCCCATAATCCTTTAATTTTTTAAATGAAATATAAATATATTTAAATTCACAATCTTTCAAAAATTGCAACAATAGTAATGTAAATAAAATAAATGCTTAAGCAACGAGAATATATTCAAATATAGGTTAAAATAATTTTAATTAAATCTACATATAATAAGATTAATTAATTTTCTTTCAAGAGATCATAACTATAAATTCATTTAGTGTTTCAATAAATTAAAACTTTTAACTTAAACATAAAAATAAAAATACTCTAGCATTTATGGTTAATCCTTCATTGTTCATGAGCACAATTAGGGATAGATAAAGGTCAGGTCTAATTTTTGATCAATTTGAATTTAATTAAAGTATTATATTCATTCATCCACCGCACAATTTGATTCAGTTTAAGAAAGTTTTAAGTGACTCAAATTTTAATATGATTTTGAGATAAAAATTTACATTTAAACACCTTATCATTCATGTTTTTCCAAATACCCCAAATGGCCGCCATGGGTAAAGGTCCCCATCCTAACCCGTTTTCCCTGGTCTTGTCTCTCAAATAATGTTATTGTAATTATCCTTAAATATATAAAAGATGATTATATTATTTTTTTTGGGTCAGATATTTTTTACTATAAAACTTGAACTTGACCCAATCTTATTTTAAAAAAATTGACTCATTTATATTTTTTTCTATAAAATTAAATTGAATCAAAGCTGGTTGAAACCGGATCGTATATCCATCCCTAAGAACATTTATCTCCACCTAATCTTATATTATTAAACATTGTTAGTATTTGTTACGAAACTATTTAGGCACTTTTCAAATTGTCATGTCTTCTCCATTAAGATTTTGACTAATTGCTCAACTACTTTTAACTTTTTTTTCTTACCTCCACGTCGGCCGACCTTAATTTGGAGACCTAGTCCAATATTTCCATCCTTCGGTATTGTATTATGACAAAGATTCGACCTACTCAAAAGTTAATATCATCCTATGCTAATTTAAATTATTATATTATTAATAAACATAAATTTTAAAAAAGTTAAATATAAATGTATTCTCATGTTTTGAAGGTATGGCTGGATGTATTTTTACAATTAATCGAAGGTAACAGTTACATGAACAATAATATTGGATGTTAATTTTTTTGATCATATAGAGTAGTTGCAAAAATCTATCTTTTTAATACATCTTATGAAATCAAATTAACAATAAAAACTGGAGCTTCATCGAAGAGGACTTCTCTCACAGGTTGACCCCAGCTCATCGTCGTCATAGCATCTCTCTTCAAATAAGATGCAGTTTCACCTCTCATGGCTGCAAGAGAACACGAGTAGTATCTACAATGGTATTTCCTTGCATCACCAGAGATTCCAGGTTAAAAAGATTACAAATCTCTAAGCTACCAGTTTAGACTTCGATCTTTCGAAAACCCAAGCTCCACACATGCTTCAGTCCATCATGTAGTGCCCAAAGTTCAGTCCAGAATGGAGAACACACTCCCAAACTTCTCGAGAATCCAAAGATCCATTCACCCTGATCATTTTGAATAATCCCACCACAAGCAGCAGCTTCATCTCTCTCCCTAACCCAACCCATAGGAGGTTTCCTTTGTTTGCACAAATTCGACTCGTTGTGTACTGTTGGTTTTACAACAATATCATAATTTGCAGCCATCTTTCCTACTTCTTGATACAACTTCAAGCAGCTATCCAATAATGGAACAATTTCCACATGATCTTCATAAAAAATCCACCTGTTCCTTTTATTCCACAATGACCAGCAGATAATTGCAAACAATAAATCCCATTCAAGCACCTCACAATCAAAGTAATCTAGCCTTTACTTTTAGTCATTCAACAACATTCATAGAATAAAATTCTTGTAATTTAGTAGGCTTAATTATTTGCTTCCAAACCTATTTCGTGCGTACGCATCCCCAAAGTACATGGTTTATATCTTCTTCGTTCTCTTTGCAAATTGGACATTG